CCCCCCCCCCCCCCCTCCAGCCCTGCATTGCAAACAGAGCCGATCCACGAAGACAAAAAACACAAGAAAGACACACCGGGCAGGGCCACCCGTGCTTGTGCATACAAGGAAATCGTGCACCACCGCACCAACAAGCGAAGCGACGCATTCCTTCGAGGTCTGTCCGGAGAGGGTAGTCTCTGGTACGTCGACTAGGTCTGTACTGTCTAAATGAGGCGGCGGCTGTGAGAGGGAAAGGAGCGTCACATCACAACCTTTTGAACTCCGAAACTGGCGTCAAAATTTGAGGCTCCGTTTCTCCAACGAGTTATTCGTTAGTTCTTTAAAGTGCGGGTTCGTGCCTTATCATGCATGAGGTACCGAATTACAGAGTACACGACGGGATTTTCGAATGGTGGTCGAGAGCGTGTGGCATACTTGGGCCACATCTCAAGACATCTAATTCAGGTCAAACACCGGCAGAATCGCGCCTGCTCTCCATATATTTGGTTTTTGGCCTCCAGTCGTCACTATGCTCCTCTGTTCCACTGCTCGATTCTGCTACATGCACTGGTCATCGACCCGATTTATTTATTTTTTTCCCATGCGCTCGCGAAGAACAAGAGCAAAAGGTTAGGTCGTCGAGCATACGGCCCGTCCCAGGATGACTGCTCCGCACCGATGAACACAACGCAACGCCTACCGGAATACTACCATGATATTACCACGATACTTAACTTCGCGTGGCATAAAATGTACATCCTCATTAACCAATCAACCAATGAGTTTTATGAGCTACAATGAGCCAACCAACCAAAGCTAGGCAGGCTGTCGTGGGCACACTTGTTGAAGTAGGCTCGTGGACCAACCGGCTACGGTTCTCCTTCCCATCATCGCGCTTGAAACAGGAGGACAATACCGAGCACGTAATCATAGTTGCGAGATCAACCCCCCCCCAGATCGATTCCGCCAGACCGAGCGAGCGTGGCAGGAGAGAAGCGAGACGTCCCTCACGCCTAGGGCGAGACATTCCCTTCTTCTTGCTACAATAGCGCTGCTGCCGTTGACAATTCAAGGGAATAAGCAACACCTTTAGCGGTGCCCCCCCCCTCCCCCTCCTCCCCCCCCTCCTCCTCCATGGTGACCCCCTCCACCCCCACCGCCGTGGTTGTGGCCTCCTCCTCCGCCTCCTCCGCCTCCTCCGTGTCCGTGACCGTGACCGCTGCCGTGCCCGTGTCCCCCGGCGTGCCCTGGGCATGAATGGAATAGCAGAGACGGCGCGGGGGCGCCCGACCTTCGATAAGTCAGGGAAGTATACGCTTGCAGCAGTGGCAAAATCAGTGGATGATTGGAATGTTGCGGTGGAGGTTAATAGACCCCACCTCCCCGGACTAGGTGTAACGCAGGTAGGTAAGTCACCACATACAGTAGCGGCAACATCGTTCCCTTCCCACTCCTTTCAACAGCGGAAACCAAAAAGAAAACAATTTGCTGAATGAAACTTTAATCTGCATGTACCTCTGAACGAATCGGGAGATTAGCGGGGTGGTGGATGTCACATAGAAGTGATATTGTACATGTCTCTCCTGTCTTGTCTGCGTTGTGTGGAATGTCTGAGCTCACGGGATGGCTGCGCCGCAGGTACGGTGCCAAGCTTAAAATGTTCACTCAATATCACTACCTGATGCATGTGATCTACAGCACTACCCCACCTTAGAAAAGTGTTAATCATAGCCCACGATTGTCATTGCGGATAATATAGTGATTTTTTTGTCGGCCTGGTGGTTGAGTGGTTGGCTTGACGCTTGACTTTGTGAAACAGTCACAGTTGTAGCAGCTTGGAGTTTGATTTCTCGCATGTCAACCCATTGTTGCGGCATCACGATCGAGGAGCAAGAGGCACGACGGAACTTTTTTCGTGACGCGATACAAAACTAAGCCAAGAAACCCAGGAGTAAGGGTGGAAAATAGCAAAAAAAGTAAAAAAACAAATTCCTGTGTGACGCGATCAAACAAAGGCAAGCACAGCAGTGCACATTAAAAAAAAAAAACTGTGCGGCCCCGGCTGATTCGCGTTATAAAATGTTTTTGTATGTAGACTGGCCACCACACACTATCGATCGACGGTGTTTTTCCTTTCATACATGTTTTGTTGTATTACATGATTGGATGATTTGATGATTTCTCACCGCCGCCGTGTCCGGGTCCATGTCCGTGTCCGTGTCCGGGTCCGGGTCCATGTCCGTGTCCATGTCCTTAGGGTCCATGTTGGAAGTTTCATTCAGGTTAAGGCAAGGATCGAGAAACGCGATTAAACTTGTATCGGATTATGCGTCGTCGTGTCGTTGCTGCTGCTGCTACCCCCACCGCCGTACTCGTATGCTTTGCATGCCTTGGCGGTTACACCATTGACCACGCGTCCTCGAGAGGACGGAGTATTGTCCCCACAGGCCCGATCACCGATGGCCAAACGAGACTTTCTGATTTGCCATGAGTGGTTCAGAAACGTTTCCCGTATCCCACCCATCCTACCATTACCAACCTCCTCTACAATAAGGTCAGCCAACTCTCCGCGAAACTCAGCCAGGGATTTTAATGTTTCGGTTTCCCGCACAATCAGATATGCAGCAATGAGTTCAGCGCACGTTGGGAATTTACACACTAAAAAAAAACGCCATCCTTGTCCTTACCATGCCCCGGACCGTGTCCACCTCGTCCCGGACCGTGTCCCGGCCCATGTCCTACCAAGATGGAACATACCACGGAACGGTTGACGGAATGCCAGAATTGAACGAGTCTCATCATGGTGGACGGTATGTACACCAAATGTTTCGCACGCACGTCGATCGCAAGGGGGTACAGGTAGGTGGTACTCAATTCAGCGAGAGGCTCTTCATGAAAGGTCGTCTGCTGCACATGCTGGGCCAGCAATTGCTTGTCTTTTCCATGTGTTTCGGCTTTTGCTAAACGTCGGCAAGCGACCCCGATCATGGATTACTACCGGTAGCTTTCCTCCCAGCGTAGATCTTGCTGATATATGACGTGATGCATTCATACAAGTGGACGTTAAGCGGCATCCACTTGACGAGGGATCGAAACGGGGGTGGACGCCCGAAGGCCTTTCAGGATGCCCCGCCTCCGACTCACCGTGTCCCGGTCCATGACCGTGTCCGGGTTCGTGTCCGTGCGGCTTAGGCGGCATATTCAGCGGTTGCCTGGACGGGGGCGGGGGGGGGGGCAGAGAAGAGGGGGATGGTTATACATGATGGCGGAACCCAATGTGGTCCTGTAAAAAGGATTGGCTGAGCCCTTCTCGCGAAATACACCAAAGGAAGCATCGCACGGGGAAAGGCGGGGCAACAAAACAATACAAAAATGAGCAAAAGCTCCTGCGTGACCTTCATTCGCTTGATACGTCCGCCGAAAGGCCTGTGCGCCGGCGCCAGAAGAGATGGGAGATGGGACGAAGACTCACGCACGTTTTCCACAGAGATGGTTGATCGACGGCATTCGGACCAAGCGTTGATGTAAACTGCGAGTGGGGGGCGACAAGTTACGATTAACCGCCAAGAACCAAACGTACGTGTCATGCCATATCTCTCAATCTCATACATATCATACCATCACCGAAAGACTACTGTAGTCCATCCGCTGTACGGAAGAAAAGACGTATGCACATCCAACGAAAAATAACTGAGGTACCCCCGACCTCCCGCCCGGACGAGGCGCACATACATCAGCGCTGGCGAGATTCTTGCACGCTCCATTAGCTCGATACAGCGACCTAGGCCTACCCACTGCACGACAACCTTTCTTGGGGTGTTGGGTTTGGGTTAGGGTTAGTTAGGGGAGGGTGAGGCCTAGTGAGGCCTAGCGCCTTGGTGCTGCCTGAGGGCTGGAAACCTGCTGTGGCTTTGGTTTCGTGTCTATCTCCAATCACAACCCAAAAATTGTTTAACTGGCGAGTGCAAGAATCTCGCCAGCGCTGGCGTAATTCTTGNTCTCCAATCACAACCCAAAAATTGTTTAACTGGCGAGTGCAAGAATCTCGCCAGCGCTGGCGTATAGACTAAACGCGTTTCTTCCCGCCCGCCAAACCCTGTGTTTGGGATGTTCGCGGCACGGGGGGATACCTACCAACGACAAGTTCTTACCGCACACGGATAGCAGCCGATGTGTTGTTGTTGTGCGATATATTCCGCGCTGTCGGACATACTTAGGCGCCCAAGTTACAATCACGGTTTCCGTTGGATCGATGCATGTCGGAACAGGTAGAAGAGTCCTCAAGGAGTGAGAACAAAGAATGGACAGCTGTTGCGTCGTGCATGTGCAACCCCACAACGTCCTTGGTTCCTCCCAGATTTCTCGGTAGATCGGTAGATTCGCTCCCCGGCCAGCGGAACTACCCGCTCGATCGCCGACTTTGAAATCATAGTGGGCGCCTCATATTTACATAGACTGCGTGGAAGGTGTACCAGTGTACCAGTCTACTGGTGTGTATACAGCAGTATGTCTAACTATGTTACGTAATATTGTTCCGAACACACGAGGGCGGTCGTTCTTTGGGAGGAATCGTTTGACGTCTGACAACGTCTGACAACAGACGCCCGCTCAAATGCTACACAGCAGTTCGACACGGTCGGGAAATAGTTCCCGCCCCGCCCCCCGCCTCGAGGCCGAAAACTTTTCAGATGCACGTACTGCCAGGTTCGACAAAGGAGAACGAGCTAAGACCCCAGCCAAGCTGCGTCATGCTAGCCTCTTGGGTAAGACGGACAGCAGAGCAGAGCAGAGCAGAGCAGAGCAGAGCAGGATGCGGAGGGATCGGCATTCCTCCCGTTCGTCATGGCCCTGAGGCGGAAGGTTGAAGTCTACGGCGATTCCAACAAGTCGGTTTGGGAGAACACGCGAGGCGAGGCTTGTATCATAGCTGGGGCCATAGCGGTAGACATCGCACATTCAAACAACCTCTGACCGCCAGGGGGGCATGTGTGTTCTAGAAAAAACGGTACCGATACTACAGGATGTGTTTGTGACGGCCTTGAAATTCAACCGCACCCAATACTCGGCCTCTTCTGCCCGCACAACGCAAACGAACATAGATATCCATCCTGACATCCTGACATGACCTCGTCGCCAAAGGGATACGCTCACCTTTCTTTCTGTGGTGGTGATTATTTTTTTCGGGAGTAGGCAGGTGTGCGTGTGGTAGTGTGGGCGGTGGCCGGTGACGGAGCGATCAACAATGAGTGCCAGGTGACGTCACGCACCCGAACCGGTCAACAATCGAGAACATTGATCATATAAAAAAATATAAATAAACACACGCACACAAGAAAGCAAGCGAGAAGAGACCGACCGCGTGACGTGACATGTTGCGGT